AATTCCACAATTAGAAAAATTATCATTAATTCAAAAAAATCGTTTTAACTTGATTCCTGTTTCCGACTAATACCTTGAAATCTTTTAGAAAAATAATCACTTTATTTAATTCTCTAATGGTAATTACATTTTAATTAAAAATCTTTATCTTAATTATTGTTTTGAATTTCCACAACGACAAAAAATAATTAATTTTGTAGAAATAATTTTGTGATGATTTCATCTTTTTACTCTTATGTAATTGTATTTTCATAAAAAATATAATTTTTTTTCTTCCTAAACCTTCCAAACAAAATCCAGATAAATCAAAGCTTATTCGTTCTAAATTACTTCAGGAAAAGGGTTACCTACCGGCGGAATATTACCGACGGGCTAACTATTCCGCCGGGCTTAACACACCTTCGGTGATGCTTTGGTGAAATAAATGACCGACGGCTCTTGACCGTCCGTAATATCTTCGATGATTTAGGCTCAAGATGAGAGTATTCCCTCTCACATTTTCATTTTGCACGAAAATCCTTATTCCCTCAACCCCTTCTCTGATTTCCCCAATCTCAGAATCCTCACACTCATCTTCTCCAAGGATCGTAGGTGGTTGCTGCCGGAGTTCACGTGCCTCCATTTTCTTTGATCAATTAGGGCGAAAGTCAGGTATTTCCTCTCACATTTTCATTTCGCACGAGAACCCTAATCCCTTCGTTTTGTGATTTCCCCAATCTGATAACCCTGGCAGTGATCTTCTGCAAGGGCCTTAGGTGTGGGTTGCCGGAGTTCGCCTCCCTCCATTGTGCTTCAACCGCGACGTCAGCTGGACAACCGCCATTGCAGTTCAATCTCCCCTCCGCAAGCTTCATTGGGCTTAATCTCACTTGCGGTTTACAGACTCCCGCTGTCGAGACTTCACTCGCGAGGTAACATCATGGCATGGGGTCATCCACTTACTTACTCTTTTGCATAATTGACAAAGAGCGGAATAATTTAATGTTACATGGCCCATGGTCAACTTTGTTTATTTTAGAACTTCTGTTTGTTGTTTGGTACCGTGATTGCTGTGCTTCCAAGTGTCAATTCAGTAACATTGCAGTGTATGCGGTCTTATATGAGCCCCATCTGTTTCATCGTAGGCCACACCTTTTCAATTTGGTCATGGAAATTAAATTTCCAACTCCTTCCATGTTGTGAGAAGAAAGATGGTGTCTTGAAGTAATGATAATATTGTCAAATGTTGCAGAGACTTGTGTCATAAACGCTCACTGCTCAACTCAGAAATAGAGACTGTTGAACAGTCGTTAGTTGTGTGTGCAATACTGTGTCAGATACATGTCTATATCACATAGTGTAAACATAATCACTTCCGATGTTTTCAGTTACGTTGTTGTGGTTTGTATGTTAGTATATGGTAATGTTACTTTCATTTTTTCTATTCTCAAAACAACAAATGATGAAATGTGATGATGATGATGATGTGAATCTTGCTTCTCCCTTCACAACAAGAGTCAAGGCATGATTATTGATTTGGTGTGAATTGTGAAATAGAAGAAGGGGAGAAAGGGTAGCTAACAATTGTAGTTCCCAAAAAGATCAGAGTAAACTCCAAAGTTTTATCAGATGAGTCTTGCAGAGAGCTGAGAGATTTTGCTTGAGAAGCAAGTGATTTTGCTTCACTAGCACAAGTTTCACCTTCTTTTGACACCTCACTAGGTGCTCTTAGAGTAGTCTGTTTTCCACTCCCTTTCACCCTTAAGCCAAGCCAAAGCCTAAGCCTATCTTTCTTACAAGCAATCTAAAAGCATTGCACAATATATGGTGATCCACTAGTGCAAAATGAAAGCACCCATTTTGGGTCTCAAAACACCTGCAACATCCTCATAATTTTTCCGATATTTCTTTCATATTAAAATATGGATTTTCATATCTAGACTGCAGAGCCATTGTCTTTTAGTGATGCTTTAATTTCATTGCCATATACGGAAGAAAGATATCAATGGCAGGGTGACAGTTATTATGCATATAAAGCTGGAGCAGCAGAAAAAAAATACAAAAATAAACATTAGCCTCTGCTGCAGCAAATATAATACTTCACTGTAGCAGTAGTACTTATTGACTTAGTTAAATGGATATATTAATATATTATTACTCTTGTTAGAGTCAACTTTGCAGGAGTTAGTTGTTGGGAAAAAGACAAATTTCTTCATCAATATCCAAAATTTGGGCCATTTCTTTAGAAGCATTAAATTTGGGTGTTCTTCATTTTCTGTTGCATATTTTTCCACATAACAGGTTCTAGTTTGAATGTTTTTGGTTATGAATGTCTTTGGTTTTGAATCTGAAAAAGGGAACATTTGCAAAGTCTAGAATTTATTCAGATTCAATTTAGCAGTATTGAGAATAAGTGGATGAATTTTGATTTAAAATATCTATATTTTAGATTTAAAATATTTACTACATATGAAAGTAAACATTAACTATCACCTCAAAGTTACACATCGCATTTAATTATTATCCGCTTGGGGTTAAAGTTACACAATCCACTTTTGTTGTCCTTTTTAGCATATCTCTTTAATCACTCCAACCTCAACTTCATGTACGTTTGGAAAATATATCAAAATAGTCTGCCACTCCTCAAATTCCACCTTTTAAAAATCACATTAAATCAAGTAACGCACTTCTTTAAGATTCAATAATTGACATCAACAAAAATTAGTTAACACACTCAAATATTATAAACTATGTATAAGTTATGATTGGGTTTTACCAACTGGTTTTTCAGTGATTTATCAGTTTCAAATCTACATGGACAGAATGTACGTGAAGTTGGTATAGTAGTTTAGTTAGTGTAGATGCACATTGACAAGGCAATGCAGTAGCCAGTAGCTCCTTTAAGTAGGGGAATGGGTTGAAAGATAGAGATAGAGAAAGAGAGAGAGAGAGAGAGAGAGAGAGAGTGAGGTTGTAATACAAAAGGCACTATCATTGGTTTATGGACAAGTTTTTCTTGTATAGAAAGGAGTCTAAAACTGTTCCTAGTTACTTAGCTGGGCCATTAATACTTTGTGGGTCCAAAAGATTCAACTAAGAACAAAATAGATGACATAATGTGATAGTAATATCATAATACACCACTTTGCTTTGCTTTCTCTTCATTGGTATTCGAATATGATATCTTTCTTTTTTCGTTCTCTTTCATTATAATAATCACTTTATCCCATAAGGGCCCGTTCCAAAAACCTTTCCTAAGGCTTTTCCACTTTCTGCTTCCAACATTTGAAGAAGATCCCAATTATTTTGATACAATCTCTTTTTTCTTTTCTCTGAGGTGACTTTTGGATTTTTATTTCAATTTTCTCTTTGGAAGCAAAAACTAATGTACATTGGGGCATGTGCCAGTTTGATGACATGTTATTTTGATTCTGGAGATGTAATGGCATAATGGGTATGTATGATCTATTAGGTGAATTATTTAAACAAGATAGTTGATGCTTAATCTCTTTATTTTTGGGGGTTCCTTTTGGAGTGTATACCGGTTATTATAGACAATGATGAATGATCAAAAAGTTGCATAATTTCCACATCAACGTTATTTTTCTGATGTGTATGATGATAAGAACATTCCAGTACTCATACCTCAGTGTGTGTGTGTATGTATATGTATATATATAGTATTCTGTGGAAACCTGTTGTTCTTCAAACGAACTGGAACACTTGTTTACAATTTTTTTCTCAATGGAAGATGATTAATTTGAAGCTTATTCATGTGAGTGATAAACTTTTTTACACCGGTGGATAGAACTACACTGACAGTAAATACCTACTACTCCTGAGTGACCAAACCAACTTTTTTTTTCAACTTTTCTTCCATTAAGTGCAGATTTAATAAAGCTGAGTGTATGGCCAATTTCGATTTCATTTAATGTATCTTCACACTCTCGACCTTGAAAGTGCACTGCCAATTCCTGAGTGCACTTGCTTATTAGTCAGTATCTTCACACTCTCTACCTTGAAAGTGCTCACTAAATGTAAGTATTTATGGCCCATGCTTTATGTTATGATCCTATATATAGAACTTATGCATATCTTCCGTGGTTCATTTTCATTGATTGGAGCATAAGTGATACAAGATGGTGTCCACTATCTTACGATGAAATGGCAAGGAAAATTTTGTTTTAATTTATGGTTACATTGATGATGTTAAGAAAATGCTTTAGGAAATTATCATAAAAATATACTTTAGTTTATGTGATAAATGCTTTCCTTTTAGTTGATGTCATTACCAATAAGTGCACCTTATAATTTTCCTTTTAGTTGATGTTACATTTTTATCATGTGCAATTTAAATCTATTTAAGATTTAAAATACCTTTCCTTTCTGTTTTATTATGTTAGAAACAGTGAGAATTTTGCCGGGTGAATAAATTAACTAAATTGGTGTAGTTATTATGTGTGCTCATGTTTGAATGTTGCAGTGCTTAGATGATTGCTTGATTCCACCTTCTACATACTAAGTGAGCATCATATGTTTTCATCTTATTCTTGCAGAGACACACCATTTTTCTTTTATCTTTTTGAATTAATTATGTCATTTTAGAGGGAAAGATTCATTATTCACCATAATTCTTATTCTAATTGTTTTTGGTTATTGCATGTCTATGGATTCTGCTAAACATTCTCTTGTTTATTGTTATTTTTTTTTATGATTTCATGTTTATTACTACGAGAAAATCTTTATATGGAAATACTTTTAGAAACAAAAAATAATCCATCGTTGAAGTTATCTCGGGAACAATTTTGATGTTAATTTATAAAACTAAAAGTTATTAGTTATTAAAATAGTCAATTATTATGAATGAAAATTTATAATTAATTTGTTTTTTGTTGTTTGCAGGTATTTTCTATTAAACTTGAGTCCATCCCATATTGCTATGCTGTCGACCCAGTATTTCTGAACTAGTTTTCCAAGTAAAGTTTGTTCAAGTTCTGGATCAATTAATGTATATGCAAGAAATGGTTGACAGTGCTATTCGTCGACATTCTGAACAAGAAGCAGAAGATAGTTCTGATGAAGAGTCTCCTAATGAAATCACTCAAAGGTTTTACAACTTATTGGCAGATGCAAACAAACCTGTATTTGATGGGTCATCAGAGTCAAAATTGTCAGTTTGCATTAAACTCATGGCTTGTAAATCTAATTGGAACGTTCCCAATCAAGCAATGGACTTCATTTCAAAATTGATTTTAGAGCTAACACCAGTAAACAATTCTTTGCCGAAGAATTATTATGAAGCCAAACAATGTGTTTCAAAGCTAGGATTGGAAGCAAAAAAGATTGATTGTTGTCTCAATGGATGTATGCTTTTCTATGATAACGACAATGGCAAGAATGATGCATCCTTGGTCCAATGTAAATTTTGTGGCCAGCCTCGATTTCAGACAATACATCCTAAACGGAGGCAAAAAAAACCAATTCCATTCAAGTACATGTTCTACTTGCCTATCATTCCTAGATTACAAAGAATGTTCGCTTCAATGCAAACAGCTGAACACATGACATGGCATGATGGTAAAAAAAATGAAGGAATGTTGCGTCATCCTTCTAACGGTGAAGCTTGGAAGCACTTCAATCGTAAACATCCATCCTTTGCTAGTGATGCGCGTAATGTGCGACTTGGTCTATGTTCAGATGGGTTTACGCCATACATTCAGGCTTCTAAATCACCATATTCATGTTGCCCGGTAATTGTGACCCCATACAATCTTCCTCCTGAGATGTGTATGACAAAGCCTTACATGTTTTTAACGTGTATAATACCAGATCCATCTAATCCCAAGGCATCCATTGATGTTTATTTGGAGCCTTTGATTGATGATTTAAAGAAGTTATGGAGTGGTGTTTGGACGTACGATGTGTCAAAGAAGCAAAATTTCCTTATGAGAGCAGCTTTGATGTGGACAATTAGTGGCTTTCCTGCATATGACATGTTATCTGGTTGGAGCACGCATGGTCGATTAGCTTGTCCGCATTGCATGGAACACACGAAATCATTCTCATTGAGTTATGGTCGAAAAAATAGTTGGTTTGACTGTCATCGAAGGTTCTTGCGCATGGATCACATGTTCAGGAAGAACAAAAAAGCTTTTCGCAAAGGTGAAGTTGAAACAGATTTGCCACCGCCTAGACTTAATCCTTCTCAAGTGTGGAGAAGAGTAAAACATTTTCCAAAAGTCACTGAAAGTGGTATTAATAGGATAGAAGGGTTTGGAGAGTGGCATAACTGGACAAAAAGAAGCATCTTTTGGGATCTTTCGTATTGGAAGGATAACTTGCTCAGACATAACCTGGATGTCATGCATATAGAAAAGAATTTCTTTGACAACATCTTTAACACGGTTATGAATGTCAGTGGCAAAACAAAAGATAATGAAAATGCAAGAAAAGATTTATCTTTATATTGTGGTAGAAGAGACTTAGAGTTGAAGCCTCAACATAATGGCAGGTTGGTGAAGCCAAAGGCGAATTTCTCCGTATCAAAAGACGAGGCTAGAATAATTTGTCAATGGGTAAAGAAGCTTAAAATGCCAGATGGTTATTCTTCAAACTTGGCTAGATGTGTTAATATTGATAAGGTTAGTATTCAAGGTTTGAAGAGTCATGATTGCCATGTATTTATGGAGACTTTAGTCCCGGTTGCGTTTAGCTGTTTGCCAATCCACGTGTTAAATCCAATCATAGAAATCAGTCATTTTTTCAAGGATTTGTGCGCCACAACGCTCAAGGCAGATTCATTGAGAAAGTTGGAGGAAAATATTCCATTTATTCTTTGCAAATTGGAAAGAATATTTCCTCCTGCATTTTTTGATTTAATGGAACATCTTTCAATTCATCTTGCATATGAAGCATGGCTTGGTGGGCCAGTGCAATATAGGTGGATGTATCCGTTTGAAAGGTTTATGGGACAATCAAAACGTTCAGTGAAAAATAAAGCTAGAGTGGAAGGATCGATATGTGCAGCTTACTTATATCGTGAGACAACATATTTTTGTTCACATTATTTCAAAAACTTTATGTTGTTGCCAAACAATGTTAGGAATGAAACACAATGCCAAACTGGTACATGTCAATCAACATTGTCAATATTTCAACAAGTGGGTCGTCCCACGGGCAAGAAGTTTACTTATTGGTTAACTGATGCTGAATTCAACTCTGCTCACGTCCACGTGTTACTTAATTGCATCGAAGTTAAGGTCTACCTTGAGTATGTTCTAAACCTAAACTTATTGTCAATCCTCAAATTGTTATAGTCTTTAACTGTGTTCATATTTAACAGCTCATTTCTTATGGCAATGCAAGTCCCAAAAGGAAGTAGTTCTAGTTTAATACACTCGGAGTTTCCACAGTGGTTCAAATATCAAGTATGTCTATGTTTTCGTAATCATGAACACATCAATTTGTTTTACACTTGTAACTTAATATTTCTTCACGTATTTGTAGGTTCATAACCAAGCATTAAGTCCCATAATTCAAGATCTAAGAGATTTGTCAAATTGGCCCATGAGATGTGTTAAAGAATGGCACACATATTTTGTCAATGGGTACAAGTTCCACACAAATGCATGGTCCAAAGGAAGGAAGACAACTAATTGTGGTGTGTTTGTGAAGAGACTTACCGAGGGTGGTTATGATGATTTCTATGGGATTATTCAAAAAATTTATGAGCTGGAGTACAATACTTCATCTACTCCAAAGAGAGTAGTTGTTTTTTATTGTGAATGGTTTGATCCTTCTAGGAATGGAACAAGAGTGGATCCTAGGTATAATATTGTTGAAATTCAAATGACTTCACGATACCGCCCATTTGATCCATTCATCCTAGCACACAATGTTAGACAAGTTTATTACGTTCCATATCCAAATTTTCATACCATTGACAAATGTGGTTGGTGTGTTGCTATACAAACAAAGCCTAGAGGTCGAATTGAGTCAAATGATGTTCAAGAGGAAATCCCTTACCAAGTTCATGAAATGGAACATGAAAATGAAATTATTGAAGTTGAAGGTATATCTGCATTGCATGACTTTGATGGTGACGATGAAGAGTTGGAGGGACAAAACCAAGAACATGAAGAAGGAGAAGAAGAGGATGAAGAAGACGACGACGAAGATGAAGAAGAATTTGAAGACGATGAAGAAGACGACGATGAAGATGATGATGATTCTTTGCATTATGATGATCACAGTGACGGTTCCAACAATGATGACAATAACGATGATGACGACGATTAAGACGATTGTATTAGAACAACCCTTGTGTTATGATGCATGTCATTCGTATGGTAGAAATCTTTATTCATTTTTTATCAATTTTTCCATAACATCATGTATTTTGAAATTGATATATATGTATCTATGTATGTGTATGTTTTATAATTTTACAGGCAGTAGAGCTGGGACATGTTGTTCATGTTGATGAGGTGTTTACACAAACTCATCTCCGAAAGGGGACTGACACATACGTTGATGAGAGGTCTCGCAAGACCATTGTAAGTAGTTTGGCGTAACAATATTCAATGTTGTACTCTTTATTTTAGTTTCACACTTTGAAATTAAAGTTATTGACGTTTTCTATCTTATTTAGCAGGAAGATTTTTCTACTAGACTTACACAGGCGAGATCGGAGGTGGGATTTACTCCTGATGCTGCCTCAAGAACAAATGTAAATGAGGATATCATAAGGTGGGATTTACTCCTGATGCTTAGTTTAAAAACTTTTGAGTTTTGACGTTTATTAGTATTAACAACTACTTTTATGGTATTAATAGTTAATGAACTTTTAAAACTTAGTTGCTTAGTTTAAAAACATTTGTGTTTTGACGTTTATTACTGTTAACCACTACTTCTATGGTATTAATGATATAGATTTGATGTTTGATGTTTGATGATATTGATTGCATTTTGTAAAACAAATATTGAATACATCGATGAATGATGATATTGATTGGCAGGTGTATGGTGATGGGTAAGTAGTGTACAAATAGCAGTGCAACCTGCAGTTTATGAAACAAATGTTGAGTGCATTGATGTATAATGATATTGATTAGCAGGTGTATTGTGGTAGGTAGGCAATGTATGAAACAAATGTTGAGTGCATTGATGTATAGTGATATTGATTGACAGGTGTACTGTGGTGGGTATGCAGTGTATAACAGGCTTTGTAACCTGCACTGTGCGTTACCGGCGGCCTGACTGACGGCCTAATTGTCGGTCATAGTCATTGTGTCTCCAAATTACCGACAATCAGAAAGTACTTACCGAAGGTCATTATTCGTTGGTATTTATCGAGGGTCACAAGCCCTCGATATTTATTGACGACTTTTTTCGAAGGCCAGTATCCGTCGGTAATTATCGATAGACAAAAGTCTACGGTAACTGTCTAAAATCGTCAATAATGATCGACAGTTAGTGCCCTTCAAAAAAGACTGTCGGTAAATATTGAGTACATCTTTCGTCGGTAACATCCGTTGGTAAAATTACTGATGAACACTTTCCTTCGACAAAGATTTTCAACAAACTGTTTACCATGGATAAATAATTGTCGATAATCTGTCAAAATGGATATTTATTGACGACTTTTTTTATTTTCGACAAATCGATGTCGTCGGTAATTAATTCACAATTTGTCTCCAAAAATGTAAAAATTCATAATTAATTCAAGATTTTTTTTTCAATAACTCCACATGTCAAGTTTTCATAAGACATTATATTTTTAAAGAAAATTATTAACTTTGATATAATAATCTTGAAATAGGAGAAAAAAAAAAGTTCATATTTACCTACAAAAGTATTACCTAATTACCAATAAAAGTAAAAAGAAAAAATTCGAAATATTTATTGGCAAAAAAATATATATAAGTAATTATTAACGAATATTTATAAATAAAAAGTCACCGTATACAGTAGCGGAGGAGAAGAAAGAGAATTAGTGTACTATAACTATTAAAAAATAAGAAATAGACAAATTAAAGCTTTCTCTCCTTTGAATTTTCACCATATGGTAAGTATCATATCACCAAAATTTGAAGAATAAATTAATGATGTTGACTCACCTCGTAATTATGATTAATCAAACTTAACCTTAATAAGTGTCTTATCTAGTTTTTATAAGTTTTATTAAATTAAGTGTTAGAAAACTTTTAGACTCCAACTGGTGGGTCAATTTAATCATATTTAGTAAAAAATTAAACAATTAACCAAAAGCAAATTTTCTAAAATTTTTGTAAATGAATCCTATTAGTGATTTTTTATGCTCTTATGTTATTTTTCATTAATTAAGATTTGTTACAGGTGGTTGAGTTAAAACTAAGATTTTAAAATCCTTTATTTATCAAAGTCATCTTTATTGATTTTGTAATAAAATTTTAAAATTTGACTTTTTTTAGTTAAAAATTTAATCTCTATACTATAAATACTCTAATTTGGTTTTATTCACTTTAATTTTGATTTAAACAATTGTTTTATATGATTTTCATTAAGAATTTGTAAAGGACACTTGAATAGATAGAGTATTTGATTTCGAAACCTTTAATTTTATTTTTTATTTATTTTAATTAGAGAAGTGACATACGTGCATTTCATTACATTTTCTTATTTATCCAAGGAAAAACTTCAGGGACTGAAATGAGTAACAGCAAAGGCAACCCCATCCAACACATGTTAGAGTGGAAACACCAAATTCTATAAAGGTAAATGTATTGCTAAATTTACAAGTTTCTGAAGAAAAAACTAATTACAAGTTGAATGTATGATAAAAAAATGGAAATAACATAAAAACAAAATCCAAATATCAAACTTTCTGAACTTTCATTTGAAATTTGAATCTGGGATGATGTAAAAATACAATCCAACTTGTCATTTCTCTCTTCAAATCTAGATTGGATGACAAGAGGAACAGAAATGAAAGGTATTGGACTCGAACGAAATTGAGTGTTGAAAATAACAGAAAGAATAATATGCATAGCACATAATTTCCCACTATCATGGATAACCACAATCCAAAAGAAGAAATAGCGAAAAATCCTAAACAATATTACAAGCCTGGTGATCCAATAAAAAATCTATACTGAGAAGCAAAAATCATACAAACATGATCAAACAACTGAATCCCATACCATAGTTGAACAGTGTTCTATTTCTGGTTGGCAGCACCCTTTTTCTTTAACAGGCTTCCAAACTTGCCAAGTAAAGGCTTTTTCTTCTTCTTGGATTGTTGTTGTTGTTGTTTTGGTGGTGGGCTTCCACCTTCATCAATGTTCTCTGTCACTGAATTTCCATTTATCTTATCAAAACTCTCACCACCTTCTTCTACCTTTGAGTCAACTTCCTCTTCAAATGATTCAGGCTCTGCTTCTCTCTCTGGAGAGAACTCCTTTTTCTCTATCTTGCAGCTCTCCCACATTTTAAATTCACCTTCTACTGAATCCTCCTTCTCTTTCGTCTCATCTTCTTCCTTCACTTTTTCACTCACTACTTCCTCAGGTTTGGGAGATGCAATATTTTCAGCTTTGTCTATGCTTTCTTCTGGTATGTTTTGTTTGAGTTCCTCCTGATTCACTGAGAGCTCTACCTTTGAAATGTCATCTTTTACATGGCCATTCTCTTCAGAAAATTCAACTACTTTTGGAAGCAAATCATAGTCTTTCTCACTGTCTGTAAGATCCCCGTTTTCCTCAGTGTGGTTTATGGTTGTAGCTTCTTCCAACAACTTAGATAACTCCTCCACCTTCTTCATTGATTCAGATTCCCTCATCCGAAGTTCATCATTTTCTTCAAACATACTCTGCAACTCATTCTCTTTATCCAATAAATTCTCCTTCAGTTTCATGTTCTCAGCTGTTGCTTCCTTAAGAGCTTCCTGCAGTTGAATTGCCTCAGCCTCAACTTCCTTCAGATTTTCCTTCAACTGGGCTTCTTCCTCCCTGTTTATATTAGCTTCTTCCTCGGTTTCTTTAAGCAAATAAAGCAATCTTTTTATTTCTTTTTCCAGAGATACCTTCTCTTCTTCGTTTTTCTTTATGCAGCTTACTAGATGATGCTCTCTCTGCTCCCACTCAACCTTGGAGTTCTCAAAGACACTCTTTGAATTTTCAATGCTACATACAAGAACATCGATCTCATGTCGTGCCTCATCAAGCATGGACTCGTATTTTTCATTAGTGGCTTTTAATACTAGCTTCAAATCTTCAATCTGAGCCTCATAGCTTTCACGTTCAGCTTGGATGTTTAGTAGATTTTCCTTGGCTTCTCTGGCTTCTGCAGATACTTCATGTAATGCAGAAGCTAAGCTTTCCATTGCCTTTTTACTCTTTTCTTCTTCATCCCTAGAATTTTCCAACTCACTGATAAGTTTGTTTTTCTCTTCTAATAAGGTCTGTACACTAGAAGCAGCAAGTTTTTCATCGTTCAAAGCCTGAGCTTTCTCTTCCTTAACCTTCTCAATTTCAGATTTCAGAGCCTCAACTTCCTTTGACTTCTCAAGACTTTCTTCCTTGGCCGTACGAAGTTGACGTTCTGAATCCTCAACATCAGCTCTGTGTCTCCCAATTGTCATTTCTAATAACCCCACCTTCTCTTTAAGAGTTGTAACTTCAGATTCTGCTTCATGCAACAAATCGTTGCTTCCTTCTAGCTGTTTCATTACAGATTCCAAAGACTCTGATGCAGATCTCTCCAGTCTGTTTGCTTCTTCAATTCTCATTTCCAGTTCCTCAACCTTCTTATGCCACTCCTCTAGCAGGCTACGGGAATAAGACTCCGCCATTTTTGAAGCTTCAAGCTCCACATTAAGGTGTTCAATAAAACCTTCTTTCTCTGACAACTTATCAGCGTAACCCTTTGCTTTTTCAAGTTCTTCATTGAGAGCCTCTATCTCGGTTTTCAGTTTCAATATAACCTGATTTTCACCAGCCTGTGTTTCCAGTTTTGCATCTAGTAAGGCCTTCAATCGCAACAATTCAGCTGATAAAAACTCTGCTTTCTCTGCCTGAATCTCGGCAATTTTAGTTGCATCATCGGCATGATTCAATGCCTGGTTCTTTGCATCACAAGTCATGGCAAGTTCTTGTTTAACCCGCTGAAGCTCCTGCGTGGTGGAGAGAAGAGCAGCCATGTCCAAAGCATGTTGGTTCCTTACACTTTCAATCTCCTTCTTCCATTCTTCTTCCTTCTTCTTCACAGTTTCAATACCGGCCTGCTCCAATTCCACAGCTCGGAACCTCTCAATCTCAGAATTCTCCTCGGCGCGTTTTTGAACCACCAATGCTTCCCTGAGTTTGTCATTTGCTTCTTCAGCCACCCTCTGTGCTTCTTTCAACTCATCAATTGCTTTTAGCTTCTCCTTCTCAGCCTGAATGAGCAGCTCCTTTGCTTTCTTTAGGTCTTCTTGAGCAAGATTCAATTGGTTCTGCAACAACTCTGAACCCTTTGCAGCTCTAGGGGGT